AATCTGATGCTATAACAGCCTCCACTCTTCTGGTTTCAGGCTTTCAACCAGATTTTGGAGCCTGTCTGCAAGGATTTGCTCCCATTCAGCAACAAGAGCATTAGTGAGGTCCAACACTGATGTTGGTTGATGAGGTCTGGCTCCCAGTCAGCGTTCCAGTTCCTCTCAAATGTGCTGAATGAGGTTGAGGTCAAGCATCTGTGCAGACCAGTATTTTACGAATTACGATCATATTGCACTCCACTTCCAACATTTTTTTACTTTCATGCAGGAGATAGAACATTGTGTAGCCCACTGTTGTGCAATTCGCCTTTTTACTAATCTTTCCCTAACCGTAACTCGACAGTGTTACCATACATACAGATAATGTAGAAGAGAGAATTCAAAAACTTTTGGGGTAAAAAGAGTTTTTACCCCAAACTGAAAACATTTTATGGACCTGGCTTTGTGACAATTGTCATGTTAAAACAGGAAAGGGACAAACACAAACTGTGAAGATAAAGTTGGAAGCATATTATTATCTAATATATCATTGTAGTATTAAGATTTCTCCAAATTATGACGAAGGTGCCAAAAACCAAAAAAAGGCACTAGACCAAAAGTATGGTCAGGTTTTTTTGCGACCAGAATTGACACGAGATGGTAAGCTAAATACAACCGAACTCTGTATGAGACATTTTTGGGGCGATCTGAAAACACACTGTGAAAGGGTTAAAGACAAAAACACGTTGTGGGAAGGAGAGGGGTTGAGCAAGTGAATGCAAGGCAGTGATAAAGGAGCAGATATCAATCTGTTGAGCAGCAACACGAAAGGACACTGTGTAATTCGTCAAACTTGGCAGCCGTGTACTCATCAAGATCACAGTGAGCTTTGAGGGTGCGATGAGAGTGGAGCAAGAGAATGAGAGCGGCATATCGATGAAGAGATGGACACAGAAAGAAGACAATGCAGCGGCAAGTTGAAAAAGAGGGTGAACCTGCTGCCTGGCTGCTGGTGTTCTGATTGATGAGGTCACAGAGAGGGCTCCCCCAAAATGCAGAGTGCATTCTGAGGGTCAGTCAGAGGCTGGGTAGAGGTCAGAGTGCAACGAAAGGGGAGACGTGGAGACTGAGAACAGCACAACAAATGTCAGAAAATTAATTCTCAGAAAATTCCGTCCTCCACGGTTCCTGATTGACAGCGTGTGCTGTCGCTGTCCGTATCAGCTGATAATCAGAACATTATTTGACGTCAAAGTAGCTGGCACGGTGCTTCTCATGAGATCGCACTGTACATCTAAACTTCTGTTGTATCAAAACTTTGTTGCGGTTATGTCTTGGACCAATAACATGCGACATCAATGGCAGCTGAGGCCATGGCACAGTCATGATCATTATTCACACAAATTTGAATGCTGGAGTGTTTTAGCAGCCTTTGTTTTTATTGTTTTGCCACAAAGAGCCAGAGCACAGACTGTTTTGATCTGATCTTCATATTGACCAGGACCTCGACTGCTTGTGTGATTTTCCACCCGATTCGAAAGTTATTAGAGGATTGAATGGGCGCCATTAGCATAGATGTGGGTCAGAATGGGCCTGTCACATGTGCTAGTAGGTTCAGGAGGTCGTTCGTGACAACAAAAGTAAACTAGAAGTAAACTGCCTGTCTCACTCTCCCACTCACTCACTCAGTCCATCTAACTGTCTGTCTGCCTGTCTCTCTCTCCCACTCACTCCATCTAACTGTCTGTCTGCCTGTCTCTCTCTCCCACTCAGTCCATCTAACTGTCTGTCTGCCTGTCTCACTCACTCTGTCTCTCTCTCCTCTCTGTGTCTCTCTCTATCATACAGTCATTCAGGTCTTAGATATTTTTAAAGGACTTTTCCCCTCTCACCCCCCCTCCCCCCATTTCAAATTAAAAGCCCCACAGAATGAATTCTAACTGGAATGCTTGTGATGAAGCCTCTCATTTTAGTGTCAAACATTATGATTCTGTCTCCTCTCCCCCTCTCTCATCCACCCAGTCCCACCCTTTCAAAATAAAAGCCCCACAAATACGAGATTCAATCCAAGAGTATGAATCTAAAATGCAGAAAAGAGAGTAGCGCTGTCTCAATTGAACCTGAACGACACTACCGGTAACATTGGCGTGTGTATATATTGCGATTTCTTCGGGCAGTAGAAGCCACACTGTCAAAATTTCTTTAGGAATTTTCTAGTTATCATTATTATTATTAAGCCCGCAGGATTACAATCAGTGTGCTTTGGCACAGGCAGTTTTACTGCCTTTGTGCCACAAAGCCACACTGAATAACTTATTTTACTGTAGTTTTGTTACCTAATCTACGTAGTACTCATTTGTACTTAAACCACGATCCTTTCCTAAACCTAACCAAGTTCAATTGTTGCCTAAACATAAAGTTGTTGTGCTTGAATTAACATCTTTGAGTTTCCCTTTCACAACGTGGGAGGTGCAGGTTTGCCCGACTGAAGCATTAAAATGGTAGTGATAATCGCTGATAAAGCCCATTCAGTTGGCTTTTAACATTGAATTGGTGTACTCTCCAACAGTTTCTCCTCTTCTTTCTTATTGTCTTCCTGCACTTATGAAGTGGAGTCAAAAAGCTTAAGGATGTGCAGATTTTTCACTTTTTAACTCTTTTCTAAAAATATTTTCTACAGCTTATATGCACTCGCCTCTTTGACTTCTAATGCAATTACACCACCTATAGAATTTGCTTATTCAGTCTGACAACTTTTGTTTTCAGTTTAGGGGGGGGGGGTAAATATAGAATGCTTATAAAATAATAATTGGTTTATCTTTATGTGGTCAAAATCCTATAAAGCATATTATTTGGAATTAATTTATCATATATGGATTGAAAATTGCAGAATCATATTTCAGCTTGTCACAAAGAATAATGAAAAATACACTGAATCACTTACGCTTTGCATATGAAACTAAAATACATGACAATGAAAAAAACTGGCTGTAAAACACCAGAAACACCAAGAATAATTCCTCCAACCCCAAAACGGTATACCTGCTAATTCCAACACACATACAGTACACACAAAGCACCTTCCTCTGTGTTCACTTAGTGTCCCCAGGTGGGAGGGCCAACAGTGGAGTAGCTATGTGTGAAGGTAACCTTTTCAACTGTGTTGGAGCCACTTGGTAAACACACACTATAATTACTGCTTATTAGAGGCTATATAGGGGCCCATTAGTAGCACTGGCCCTACCTCTCACTGCCTGCCACCTCATTATAGGAGCCAGCACAGCACAGTCTGCCTCATTACCACCTGCCTCTTAAACTCACACACATGCATCCACACAGGGACACACACACACACATTCACAAACAAGTAAACACACACTTGTGAGCACACTGCAGGTGCTGCCAGATTGAAGTCAGGTGTTGACTTGTTAAGTGTTTGACAGTGCTAAAGTGTGTATAGGTGTCTGTGTGTGTGTGTGTGTAAGCATGTTCATTGCATCATGTGGCATTAGTCCAAAGTCATCAACAGACATTGTTTATGACTGTTTGCCTCATTATTTGAACTCTGCATTTAGACCAATGCATGATGCATTCGCTTGAATTTTCAAATCTACTTGTTGCTTGAAACTGAAACTTTTTAAAGTTTTAGATGTAATGTGTCTACAGGCCGAGATGGACTTTTTGTGTATTTATTATTCATGTCAATAATTCAAACAAAAGTAGCTTGTAAACGATTGTTAAATTATTTATTTCAGATAAATATATACTACGTATCATATATTAGCTAGTGTACATGTGATTGCATACATAACTTTTTTAAGAATGATATCTTCCGAAAAGTTGTTCGTCATTTTTTGTGTCGCTTCGAATGTCCAGCAGTATGTGTCAATTTCCGCTAGCTAGCTTTTAGTCTTCACGGGAGACAACTTGGTTAGGTTTAGGCAATAAAACTGCTTGGTTACGTTCAGGAAAAGATCGTGGTTTGGGTTTAAATAACTTCAGAAGTTGCATAACCTAAATACAGAAGTTAGGTGACAAATAAATTGACTTCTCGACTTCTGGTTTCACACAGGACACAAACTGCGCCCTTCTTTGTGAAAGTCCGGTCCAACTTCCTCTCTACACAGTTTGTTGCTTTTTATACTTCCTGGTTCACAATACAATGATTGCATACGAATCACCCCACATTACTTTTCTTAAGCATAGCTACTAACAGTGTGTGAGAACAGTCTGCTTAGTAACAACATTTTCTCTCATATTATATGAAAGATTCACACGTTTTGATTTAGTTACAGTGCAAGTAAAAAGTGGTGAAACTAAAAGAGGTAGAGTATAAAGTGTGAAACTAGCTAGTTACAACATAGTTAGTGTTTACTTTACACTTACACTGTAACTTACATTTTGCTAAACCATGCTCCTTGGCTGTAGGTCAGCAACGGCTACAACCGCCACACACGCCTCATGAGGCCGCACAAACCTAAACACAAACAAAATGTTCTCTCTTAGTTGCTCCCTTAGTGTGCCCCATTTTGATCCGCTCTCTATTAAAGAAAAAAACAAAACAATAACGTCACATTCCAGACCATGCCACCCTTCGCTGTTCACTGTGCCGCCTGTGCAGCAGACAAAAGCCTCCTCTCTGTCAGCAGGCACTGAACTGAGTGCAGCTGCCACTGCCAAGGCCCGGGCTTCTCAACAACACTGATTTACTGGGGACACAGACACTATTTTCTTCCCCTTTCCCTTCCATTACTCCCATCCCTCTCTGCCCTCCCCGTGCCCCCTGTTAGGTTTATAATTTCTTAGCTGAGCCTGTTTGACTCGGCCATGGCAGCAGACGCAGAGTGGAGCTGCCAGCACACTCTCCTTCTCTTTGATTCTTTAAGTCTTTCACTCCCAATCCCCTTGTCAAGCTACAGTTGTTGAGTGAACGGCACCATGGTAGCACTGGCAGTTAGAGACTTGTATCTGTCTCAGTTGCACGCTTTCTGTGTGATTTTTTTGTTCTGTTCCTCCAGGTGAATGCAATGCAGGCAAGGGTGCCAGGGAGGCAGATGGCTTCAATGCAGAGAAAGAAAGCACAAGTGCAGAAGAAGAAAGACTAAAACAGTGTGGAGGGACCATGTGAAGAATACTAAGCACAACAATTATACCATTTGCCTTTTTTTTTCGCTAAATAAGTTTGTCTAACTTGGAGTTTCTTGACCTTTCTGGCTTATTTTTAGCAATGACAAGTTCCTTGATCTCCTGAGGCCTACAATGACAAGATCCAAGTTGTAGTACTCTGGAATGATCCTTTAGGTTTAGAGAAAAAAATCTGGTATTGATTTTAAAAAATAACGTTGGCTCTTAGGAGGAGACGCTTTTGATGGCCATCGTTCCACAGTTTTGCCGATTCTGATTCTGATTAAGATTTTGGAGAGAATACATGTGTTTGGGAAGTAGTGAGCATAAGACTGGATAATGTGACTTGGACTTGTGCGAGTTTGTAAACGGATGTTTTGACATAGCTTTGCTGCTGCTAAACCTTGACCCCATTTACTTCAATCATTCGGAGATTTGCTGTTTTTATTCTTCGTTCATCGGGAAGGCACGACAGAGAGCTAAGTTTTGTCTAAGCTAAGTTAAACACAGTAAGTGATTAATATACAGATGATCATTTTACATTAATTTTACATGATCCATTAAATAAACAACGCATTCTGAATGGTGGCTCCCTGCATGCGTACATGCCATTCATACTTTTAAGGCTTATTTTGATAAAAATATGACCAAAAAGCTCCTTGGTGTTATGAAAGCGTCACAAAATGTATCTACTAAATAGATTACATAAAAATTAAAACATACAGAGAAACAATTATTTCAAATCATAAATCATGAGTTCAAAAACATCCAACATTAAAGTATGTCATATTTTCAGCATACGCGGTTGATTGAACAAATCAACGCAGGAGAATTAAGCCAACACATGAACTTGTCTGCCGTGGACTCCGATCTAGAGTTAAGAATGATCAACCTGAAGCACCTGTTTGTCCAGTTAGAATGTTAGTTTAATTAGGAAAGAAAGGAGTTGGCTCTCATTGCCTGAGTCGAACAACAGGTTTCTCCCATAAGAATCCCTCAAATTCTTGCCATGTGGTTAGTGTTGTAGAAGTGGCTGATAAAGGAGCATGTGTGGCATTCAACATATGCATGTGTGTGTGTGTGTGCGTGTGAATGTGCGTGTATGTGTGCGTACGGGTGTGTGTGTGTGTCCACTCCAGGGTGCTCCAAACTTTGAGGACAGCCCCTCCAGAAAACACAGGCCTGGCCCTCCAATCTCAAAGGACGAGCTCCATTCACCTCCTGGCAACAGCGCTGAGAAATGGAGAAGAGATGGGCAGAACGGAATGGCCGGGCAGTAAATTATCAACTTTCAGAGGAGAGGACACGAAATTTATTTATAGCATTCAGCTTGGGCACTCGGGGAGGGTTGGAAGGGAGTGGGGGTGCGCGTCTTTTGCAAGGGACATCCTAGGTGGTCAGCATTGACCTGCACTAACCCCTTGTATCCTGTCTCATTCTCCCACCCTTCACACTTGTCTTGTACCCGGAGATCCCGAGACCTCCCTGGTAATTAGGGAACGAGTCACGCCCACTCCCTGCCCCCAAACGCGGTAAATTTTCCTCCTTCTCCCGGCCCCTGTGACACGCACACTCACACATCCTCCGAATTGGGGGCTTCAAGACGCCATTCAGCCCGATCCCTGCTTACTCTATCCCCCACTCTACATTTTATCACCACCCCTAGTTTTGTTTCGCTGTCTCAATCCATCAATCTTCGCATTAGCCCTCCATATTACGGAAGCCGCGGGGAACGCCCCCTTTACACCAGCCCTTCAAATCTGTCTTCCTTTCTGCACCTCCCTCAGCCTCCTCCATCTCGGCGCCGACTCCCTCTTTCCCTCCATCCTTCAGCCCGGCCTTGTTAGCAGTCACCTGCCGCTCTCAAAATGGCCTTTTCCTTCGCCCTCCATTTCTTTTCTGCCAACTTACTGCCAACTCGAAGTTAGCATAAGACTCACCTGGGGCAAAAGGAGGGAAAAGATGGGAATGGACAGAGGGAGACGTGCTGGGGATGCTGTGGCGGTGGGGGTAGCAGCACTTTGGGTGGTATGTTTCCTGCGAGGGTGGGACACAATGCCCCCAGTGTTCAGGCAGGCCCACAGGAGCTTGTTTTACAACAGGGGAGGGGCGGCCATCAATGGCCATATGATGTGAACCACCCTGAGCCGATTCCCAGTGACAAACAGCCCCCTCCGAGCAGACCCCCACCTCCTCTGCCTCCTCCTCTTTTCTGCTTTCTCCCATCGCATTCTGTTCTGTTGGACCAAAACCAGGGCAAGCGGAGAGCAGGCAACAGCACTGCCGCTCAATGGACTGGAAATGAGGGGACACATGCCCACACACGCACACAGACACACGAACCCACACACTCAAAATTTCTCACAGACATAATACGCATACATGCATACACTCACACGCACGTGCACCGACACGCACAGGAGCAGACCCTTTCTGTCCTTCTTCTCCTAATGACATCACAAGCATCTTGCTGGAAAATGAATTGGTATTGGTTTAATTGAACCCTTATTTGTGCTCCTCGAAAAGAAAAGAAAAAAATATGGTTTGATGACAGCATAATTGCTGAAGAATTGAAGTGAAGAGTTACCCAGTGAGCCTAAAAGTCCAGCTCCCCCTCCTTTCTCCAGTTCCATGGGCCCCCGTGGCACTGCCCTAGAGACCTGTCCGTTCTCTCGGCCCCAAAGTCTTTTGAGTCTGCTCTGTCCTTGCCATTCAAACAGGACTTCCCTGCCTGTGCAACAAGTCCAGATTCCCAAAAGGTTTGTTAGTGCCTTTGACCTGCCACCTCTATGGTTGAGCTTTGGTCAGGTTTAAAACTAAACTACTTGGTCAAATTCAAGTTTAACAATAAACTGCCAATTGGTAGGAGAGGGACACCTGGGATGCCTGATGATGGCCAAAACATTCTCTCTCCAATCGGTGCTCACACTGAGAGGAAATTCAACCCTTTCTCTCAGGAGACGGGACATAGAAATTAAGTCTGTGATGTTCAAGGCACCAAGCATGCCAACCACCCACCCCAACAAGTTTTTGTGCCAATACGAGCAACGTTACATGCTACCGTATGACTTTATTGTTGGCATATAGCTGCAAATCACCTGCCTGGAAAATGTCAACAAAAGGTAATTACAAGCAAAAGAGCCAATGCTATCATTTTTTTCTGTGAGCAGATTTTAAGTTAAGACCCAATTTCTCTTACAATCTAGGTAATTTTTCCATATTTTTGGTTATTATAAAAACATTTGTCTTGATGTGATCTCTGGCACAGAAGTGGTTCGAAAATCAAACGCGAATTCAGTTTACAGTATCTATCAATCAGTTTGTCCATTTTTCCTTCCATCCGTCCATCCATCCATCCATCCATCCATCCATACATGCATCCATCCATACATCCATCCGGTCTGGAGCCCATTACAGCACACATCGGGGTGGTTGCCACAATTGAAATGCACTCATTTGGAAGTAAACCTGAAAGGTAAGGTTAAAGTTAATACCCAACGTGTTCATTTTAGATCCAGAGAGCTACTCATTGGTTCGGCTTTTGACCTACTGTTTCTATTGTTGTGTGTTCACAGATTTTATCATGACAGTGTATGACAAACATTATAATGCAATTCCACGAAGGAGGTTTGGAAAAAAGTTGGTTCACAACCAAGTGCTCATCTCTCAACAAATACTTTAATGAGTAATACGTTTTCGTAAAATGAGTTACAGCATAGAGGGCAACAGAGAGCTGGCTTCTCAACATTGTTGCTTCACAGAAATCTCTGACCATGATTGTTAAGGTGACATTTTGCCAGTATGCCACCTTTTCATATTTGTTTCAATCTAGAGTTACAAAAAAAAAATCAATTTTCAGATCAGGGATGGGAAACACCAGCTGACCTCACCATAACCACGCAAGACAAAAACACCTACAACCCAAAAGGTGTGAAAACATCACTTTAGGGGTATACGTTTGAGTGTTTTTGGGAGTGGAGGGTGGGGGGTGACAGCTGGTTAGCATGGGGGTGGTAATAAAGTAGTCAAGATCTTTTGTTAAGGCAGATGTGCTTGTGTGTGATGGGATCAGGAGGCTGGTAGTGAGAGTAAAGGAATGTAACCCAGCCTCTCGGTCCCTCCATATGACGCTAATTGCAGCAGAGCGGGGATGGCCTGGGCTGCTTGTGTACAGCATTGTTCTTCCTCGGCCTATTGTCTTGTATTGTTGACAATGTCCATTTGAATGAGAGCCTGTTAAGCCAGGCGCATCCCCATCATTAGACCCCGTTACACCCATTGTGATGCAGCGCTGAGGATACTGTAGGGCAGGGGTCGCCAATTTGCGGGCCGCGGTCCGGATCCGGACCCAGACGTCGTTGTATCCGGACCCAGGACCTAAAATCGATTTTATTTTGACAGAGCGCTTCTATTTTAACCGGCGCAGCTTTTTCAGCCTTTACGGCACTTGTTCAGCGGTGCAGGAAATGCTCCGACCAATGCGTTGTAAATCACATCACGTGATGCAGCTCAGCCAATCAAATATGGGTATTCTGACATGTTTCCTAAATCGAGTGAGATGTACACACACCGTGGTCCGTGACACACGGGGGAGAGACGAGGAAAGAGAAGGAAGAGCAGGAGAATTACGTGAGTCAGAAAAGTTATTTCACATGACATTCTCCAAAAAGAGAAAAGTGGTCAGAGAGACCAGAGAGACCAGAGTCTTTAACCAAGAATGAACAGACTCTTATAGGTTAATTCTTCACACGGACAGTTTATAACCAGTGTGTCTCATATGTTTAGAGACCGTGACGATTATTAAAAGCGGTAAATGAAGCGCCATTACGAGACAAAGCACAACTCTTTTGAGCAAACGTACCCACTCACATCTGAATGAAGACACAGAAAATAAACCTAAGAGCCCAATATGATCAGAATCCTAACGCATGAATTCACTTCACAACAATGATGTTACCAGAGAGAATAGAACTGAAACAAGTGGTTTAATAACCACAGATAAAG